AAAAAAAAAAAAAAAAAAAAAAAAAAAAAAAAAAGATGTTCGAAAGTCATACATGTTCAATCGCCCCCACCCTTTTTTTTTTTCAGTTGACCAACTTCAGCCAGTCCGTGAAAGTCTATTGCATGAATTCGACGATAGAGAACGTACACACTGTTCCACTTTTCAAAAAATAGCGCAACAAAAAACATTCCATTGCGCTAAGGTGCAGCTTGCCAACTCTACCACTATTCATCACCTAGACCAGATCAGATGACAAAGGCAGAGTGAAGATGGGACCTCAACGACCGACGTAAAATGACAAAGAGAACCTCGACGGACTCCTTGAGATGGAGGGAGGAAGGGATCCCTACCTGCATGGGAATCCAACTCCTCCCGTGGTAGGCGGCGGGGTTTCCTTGGGGGAGTAGGGATCCCTACCTGGATGGGTGGGGAAGGGCACGATTGCACCGGCTTCATCAAGCAGAGCGCATCAGGGAGAGAGGAAAGCGGACAGAGTGGGAGAGGGGAGCCGGGGGAAACTGGGCACAGAGGGAAGCAGAAGGGAGGGGGGCCGGGGGCCGGAGGACGTGTACAGGGGGTATGAACCACCTATTTTAGGACAGCCTACCTCGTTGCGGGAGGGAGGATAAGGGTATGCCCGTCGGGAGAACGTACCATGAAGGTCGAGAGGAAGAAAACAACATGAGAAGAAGAAAAAGAACTATGAAGACCAAAGCAGCACCGTTTGCTAGAGTTGGCTTTGGCGGGTGGAGCAACAAGGGAGGAGAGGACAACTGAAAAGAACAAAAAATTCACTGCCACGAATGCGAGTTGAAGAAGAGTGGGAGTGATCGAGACTGACCGGAGGACGGAGCGGAGAGGAGATCTCGGTCGGGAAGGAAGAATTGGGATCAGGGAAGAAAGGTGGGAAAGGAGCGAGGAGAGGGGCGAAAACTGTGAGGGAAAGCGAGAGAGCGGGAGGAGGCGGAAACGAGGGGCGCTGCGGGGAAAGGAAGCGAAACACGGGAAAAGAAGAAAGGAAATAGGAAGAAGAGGGTGGGAAGGAACCGAGTAGAAACGTGCGAGTTGGATTGAACATCATACCACTGAACTCGCTGAAGATATGCCTGAGAGGCTTCCTGACGACATTCCCGAGGACATTTAGTCGCCCCCTGTGCGGCATGCCGATGACAATGCTCTCAACTCCATGGTCTGCAGCCCGATCAATCATCTCCTTCATTCCAGGGATCAGCGTCTCGCAGCCTTCCAAGCCGAAACGTTTAGATGCCGTCCATTTCTGAGAGAGAAAATTCTCGAAATGCGTACCCCACATCAATCTGTCCAAGATCACCTCCCGTCTATTCTTCCCATACTTCCCAGGAGTGAGTGTCTCTATCTTATCCCTCAACCAATTGCAACGCTCCCTATCAGGAATGTGCATGTACTCGTACCCTATTGTCCCACAATAGGCTTGCTTGAGTCGTTCGAGAATCGCTCGGAGTGTTCTCACAGGTCTGTTCTCCGACAAGAAACCGGACATGTTCCAAACACCCAGGAAGAATTCTCTGTCCATATCGGCCTCGGTGAAGCCGTACCAAGCAGGATCGAGCTCCTGCGGAACTTGAAGTTGCTTCAGCCCCAGCGGGTCCAACTTGGCTATGGTGTGTCCGTTTACCTGGTACGCTTTGACCAGCAGCAAAAGCCGCATGCTCTCTTGAATGGTCTGACCTGAGACGCCAGCCTGCGCCGCCGGCCGACCCGTGAAATTGCGGAAAAACGTGTCCCATGAGGGATCGACGCTGTTGGGGTCCAACTCCCATGTGCGCTGCAGTTCTTCAAGATACACGCTGCTTGTCCCGTTCAGGAAGCTGTCGGTAAGCTTCGAGAGTGGAACAGGCGTTTGCGCGCCAAAGGTGGCGGCGGCGGCGGCAGCGCTGGACGCGTCCGCTGATGCCGCCGCCGTAGCCGCTGCGCCTTTCCCATCCGTTGTCGCACCACTCCCAGCGGCAGTGATAAGATAACGGCGAGCGGCTCCGATAGCTGCTGCTCCGCGGCCATCACGCGCCGCCGCGAGAGGCGCACCCGCACCGCCTCTTCCCAATGGTAAAGGCCGGCAGATCGGGGAAGAGGAAGCAGACGAAGAGAACGGCGATAGCGACCAAAGACCTGAACGAGAGGGGTGTAGGGAAGAAGAGGAAGAGCAGGGGTACAAGGAGGTGTAGCTCCCGAAATCTCGCACGGAGCGTGCACCACTCCGACGACACGTCGATCGCTGACATCGCGCCGCCGTTGCGACTCTCCCTCCTCTCAGAAACCCGCTTAACAGCCGCTGACTCATCGTGCTCGGTTGATGTGCAACGACACTCTATCACACACCAGTGAGACGAAAACCCAACGCCTTTCGCCGCCGCCACCGATCTCTCCTCCAATCGACCTCTCCTCTAATCAGACGTCAGAGCGATTCTTCTTCGACGATCTGCGCTGACATAAGCGCGAAAGACCACGTGATTTGCCTGACTGATTCCGTAGGGTTGAAGAAGGACTGACTGCGCGCACGCAGACAGGTCGTGAGGCCCGCTCTCCCTTCTTGTTATCAGAGACAAATGCCGCGAACAGTCGCCGTTGACATCTGCGTGAAAGGAGAGGACGGCAAGTAATGGGGGTCCAGAACAGAGCGCGACCGCCGCAACGCTCACACGCGCATGCGAGAGGGAAAACCACCCGCAAGGATTGCGCCTGCTGCTCCACCCGCTCTCACCGGAGAGGGTCAGCCCCAGCGCGCCGATAGATTGATCAGTCATCAATCAGTCAGCAAAACGACAAGGAACGCTTCTCTCTGGAAGGAATCGTGGCGATGGCGATGGCGATGGCGATGGCGGCAAGGACAGCGATTGTGACCATTCGCGCAGTTGCCGGTGCTCTCAGATCCATCGACCATTCATGAGACAGCCATTTGGACCGCATGATTGAAGTGATTGCGCAGCCCCAAAAGTGCCGCGCCGAAAACAGACCAACAGAGAGAGGGAGAGAGGGAGAGAGAGAGAGAAACAGAGATGGTTTTGACGCTCACTCGAGAGCTTGGCAACCAGTCGACGACGCACAATTCCCGGCTAGCACATGCTTGTCCTTGGGGGTTGGCGCCCATGCGGCCATTCGTCTAGACCCGCCATCTCCCGACGACCGCCTCCAGACAGAAGCGGCGCCCAACAACAAAACTCACGTTCGGGGGATGGAGGATATGGTGCTCACCGAGCGAGTGCACCTGGCTCTCGGCCCGACTGGACCAATCAACGAAAACCAGGCGTATCCAGAAATAAAAAAACACGTGGCAGTGGCTTGTGCAGGGTGCGCAATAACAGCGCCCATGCTTTCAATTCAGGGTCAACGAAGACCTTCGGTACCGTACGAAAACGTGGAGAAAAGCCCACTTCTATCCCGACCCGCAGTGGCCACTTTGGCGGATGATCTGTCTGGGGAATAACGCGGACTTTGGAGAATGCACCTGACTGCAGTCGCCTCTGTATTCAGTCAAAGAAGTGCGTGTGTGTGTGACCGTGATATCGAGGACACCTCGAGAACCAGCTGGCTGCCTGCCTGCTGGATGCCTGCCTGATGGCTGAACATAGTGGGCCTCTGACGTGTACATGATAATAAAGGAGTCAGGGGTTCGAACCTCCACCGAAGGTGTGCTGCCAACAACTTGCCCATTGACGCAATGACGCAAAATGCATGCCGCTGGATAGGGAAAGGACGGGCTCCGCTCGAGCATCCCTGTGGTCACGAGTCATCGCTGGCGGCGATTCGGAATGCACCAGAAAACGCGTGGACCCTTCTTGGATCCCACCCGAGGGTGGGATCCCGAGAAACCGCCAGGCCACCGGTCTCCTCTGGCGCCCCTACCCATAAAACCGTTCCCTAAAACAGCTGTGAGGCCCTGGACCTTACCGGTAGTGGCTAACCACGGGAGCGCCGGAACGCCGCCTAAGGGCCCCGGGCCCATAACCACTACAGCACGTTCTTGGCTAACCGCCGCGGCGAGAGGAATGCAGCCCCAAGAGCCCCCGTTTTTTCTTCTTCTTTTTTTTTTTTTTTTTTTTTTCCTGAGAGAGGGAGTTATGGGGACGGATGTGGCTGTGTACCTGATGATGACAGACGCTACGAGTACCTCCAGATTATATATAGGGCCTCGCTGCACTATCTAGACTCTTGAAATGTTTCGAGAGTTCGACTAGCGTTGTCAGAGAGGCGGAACTCTCGAAATACACGCCTTCGCTGCACTTACTCTCTAACCTGTGATACTAGATGAACTCTCGAAACCCTGGGAGTCGTCCTACTCGACTGAAGAGCTGCACCACTGCGCTACGGGATTGACTTACCGTGAGGGCACGGGTGCGCAGCCCGTAGTGCGTTTGTTGATGTGGTTCGGGAAGGGTAAGGTAGTGATTATGCTGTATGTATGTTTTGTTGTGTTCGCTATACACAACTTGAAGAGAGTGTGTGGGGGGTCCCGGTTGGTGCTTTATTCACGATGTTCATGGGACGCTGGACCCAGTTTCCAGCAGGTGGCGCTCCCCATCAATAGACGAGAGAATGCGTGTGCGTGTGTATGTGAGTGTGAGTGTGAGTGTATGTGTGTGTGTGTGTGTGTGTGTGTGTGTGTGTGTGTGAGAGAGAGAGAGAGAGAGAGAGAGAGAGAAAGAGAGAGAGCTGCAACATGCATCATGTCAGTGGCGGGGAGCACAAGGGCAGGCGCTGACCTCCAAAAAAAAAGTAGTAATTGTATTGGAATACAAGAGTTTTTTCTTTTCGAAATCCGAATAGAAAGGGTACATGTTGTATTCGAATACAACGCGTACGATTTATATTTGAGGTACTCTGCTATTCGAGAAAAGTGCACCCACACCGTTTCAATTTCGAAAAAGGCTTAAGAATCACGGCCTCCTCGGCCTCCTACGGGCAGCTACCGGTCCTACGCGGTCCTGGCCCTTGCAAAGCCCCAAAAACTCAAAATGCCCACCCTCTTGATGACCACAACGTTGAAATGTCTCAGGGGGGGGAAACGCAACCCTGACGGGCTGCGAACAAAGTCTGGCCGCCGGGACAGGAGGTCCACTCTCGAAAAACGAGCTTGTCGGCGGGCAACTCCCGATGACACTCGCAAATTCCGTTTTTGCAGGCGGGGGACTCTCGACGTTTCGAGAGTTGCATTATAGAGTGCCTTCTAACAGCTCTCGATCTGGTTTCGAGAGTTTCCCGATCGAGAGTAAGTGCAGCGACGACCCACTCTCGAACATTCGAGAGTCTAGAGTAGTGCAGCGAGGCCCATAACCAATATTGTCTACCGCGTGGGCGCGGGGAACACAGCCCTAAGGTAGCCAAATCAATGAGACTAAGAGCTAACACAAGCAAGAGAGCGAGAGAGAGAGAGAGAGAGAGAGAGAGAGAGAGAGAGAGAGAGAGAGAGAGAGAGAGAGAGAGAGAG